GAAGATTCCTGATTGCACTAGCGGCTAAGAAAAGAACTAATACATTTTAATTATATTATTCCTATTATTATATTATTGAGCTTGATAACATGCGTCTAAACAGAGGAATTGCTCCGACCTGTGATTGGAGGATAAAAATAGACCCCGCCACTTTTCCATTTTTTGGAGGATAAAAATAGAATTCGTTGACGTTTCGTCTTCACCGCGTCATAGCCGCGCGTGCATATTTGCTAATTAATTAGGCTAATCGTGCTTTAATAGACTACAAAATTCACAGAGATTAAGGCTAAGACATGTGTCTATAATAGCTAGAATTTATAGAAATGTAACTCAAATCGTTCGCTCATATGATAGTTAGTACACGTTCCTACCGGTCATAGCATAGCGTATGCGGCGGGAGTGGGCGGGGTCTATATTTATCCTCCAATCACAGGTCGGAGCAATTCCTCTGTTTAGACGCATGTCTCTTGATATACATTCTAGACGGACACCGTAGCTAATTGATTTTACCTGGAGGGGCAAATCCACGTGTAGTTTGTATTCTGGGACAATTGACAGTAGGTAGTTCGCCGTTGCCACTGCTATGGCGTAAAAAGAGGAAGCCTCCCTTACCAGCTAGAAGCCTACATATATATTTTTGTTGAAATTACACACCTGTAGTGAGCACACACTCAGGAGTAATTAATTATATATGAAAAAGGTTGATCTCACTAAATCACTTCGTTAGTTATAAGCCAGCAAATCTTCCAGAAACCTCTTCGAAACCTAGAGATTGGTGTTAGGGTCAGACCCGTTTCTGTGCATTCCAACTATTTCTTCTACAAGCAAAGCGAGTAAGAAAAACCATTTGAAAAAAACCCACGACTTAATTGGGTTATTTCCTCCACAAGCGAAGCGAGTGAGAAAAACCATTTACAAATAAAAACAGGATTTAATTGGTTACCAACATTTTAATGAAAACAAACACGAAATTTCCAGTCTTCCGAAACATATTTCCGACCTTTCTTTCCTACGCTGAAAAAACTACGTACGTAACAACCGAAACGTTTTGTGCACATCAGCGTCTAAACACAAAATTGACGAGTCAAGGACTTTTTGGAACATTCTAGAACTCCCGTCCTACACTGGTTGACAATGTATTACATTTATCAACCTTGTCACCAAATCGATTTTGTATATCGATGCTAAAAAAACAGCTTTGCAAACGTTTCTAATATTTATAGCTAAGACATATTTCACCTGCGACTGGCAAAACTTCGAAACGCCTGCATGCTTTCAGCACATTTCCTATTGGCTAGTATCGTACACAAAAACAGCGCTGCAGACGTCGCCACGAAGAGCTGTTAGCGCCATCTGTAGGTGAATTCATGCAAACTTGAAATTTCTGTCTTTGTAGCTAATTTTTCCTTCCCTGCATTTCTTTTCGAAGGTCGTCTGAATGTGAGAACAAAGGAAAACATTAAAACAATGCTATTATGCAATATGCGATTAAATCGAAAATTCAATGTATATAATTCAATATATATAATATATATAATATATTCAATGCCGTCGTATACATGAAATGAATCTGAGAACAAATGTTCTACACTATACCACTCCTAGTACTAAGTAGAGATGTTTGTAATAAAACAGGAAATCATTCCATCGATATTTTTTCCAATCTACGCAATTTTTTTGGGCGAAAATGACGCGCCTCCTACGAACAAATAAATACTATAAAATAATACGATAAAAGATACGATAAAATAACATGATAAAAGATATGATAAAATAACGCGATCAAAGAAATCTGGCTTTCGTTGGCAAACACTGGACCCTACTGCTAGTGCAACACTTTAGTTAAGACCCGAATAAGTTAAATTCCACCCTGCCATGCTCCAATGGCAGAAAAAATGCTACCGTACGACTTTCGAAACCCTCGGCTACGCTGCACAAATCTCGGCTACAGCGGCGCCACCTGTGGGTGAACGTCGCACGCATCATCCCACTACCTTGGCGCCACCTACAGGTGGACACCACGCACAGCTCCCTACTACCTCGGCGCGCCACAACCACCTCCCCTACTACTGCAGGGCCACCTACGGGCAGACACCTTACCCTCCCCTATTCTACCGTGGCGCCCCCTTCCGGCGGGTCGTAGTGCCACCCTCCCTGCTGCTACCGCAGCGCCCCCTGCCAACGAGTCGTAGTGCCACCCTCCCTGCTGCTACCGCAGCGCCCCCTGCCAACGAGTTGTAGTGCCACCCTTCCCGCTGCTACCGCGGCGCCCCCTGCCGGCGGGCGTACGCCTCACCCACCTTCTCGCGGTATATCAGGTAGGTGAAGAAAGCGATCGGTAGGACGAACAGCCCGAGACCGAGCGCCGAAGTCTTCGGCGTTGCGCGGAAGTGATCGAACTGCGTGACCCTCATGGAGAGGAACCGCTGGCTGGCCGGGTCAAACTACAAAACGAGAAACGAGAAAGCAAGCTTAGCGATGCTTCGAGATAGTGAATTATTCTATCTGTGAAATTGACGGTCGAACTGCTAAACGAGAAACGAAGCTTAGTGGTGATTCTATAGTGAATTATTCTATCTGTGAAATTGACGGTCGAACTGCAAAACGAGAAACTAAGCTTATAGTGGTCATTAGTGATATAGTAGTTATAGTAGATGATTAGTGATGATTCCATCTGTGAAATTGACGGTCGAACTGCTAAACGAGAAACGGGAAACGAAGCTTAGTGGTGATTCTATAGTGAATTATTCTATCTGTGAAATTGACGGTCGAACTGCAAAACGAGAAACTAAGCTTATAGTGGTCATTCCACAAGAGGTGGATTCAAAGAAAGGAACAATCACGTTGACTCAGAACATTATCCGGATTTATTATATAGTACGTGAGAGTGTAATAGCTTATCTACATGGTAGTATAATATATGTAATAGGCCTACCCATGCTATTAGTATTAGTATTGCTGATAGGATCCATGTCTCCCTGGGTACTGCTGGAATGTACCTTGGGTATGGTCCGGTATACCGGAACGTACCCTGGTAACTAATCTGATATGGTTAGGGTTAGGGAGTAGGCGTAGGCGACTCCCGACCCTAGACTCGTTAGTGTCATATATATCAGGAGTAGACAATAGGGAAGGAGTGTGACTTCAATAAACAAGGGAAATTCATCATTTACTAGCCTTAGAATACCTACGATTTACTATGCATAACTCAACCAACTTGAGCTCAAATCGTACACAGTACATTCGCCTAGCATCGAACAAAATCGTTTCCTCATATACACCCACAATCCGGAGATACAGACTAAAACGTACGACACGATTATCCATTCTGTTACCATCAATCCGAACGTATTGTCCGCCTGACTTGAAACAAAAGGCAGCTACTAACGCTCGGCGATGCGGTGTGGCTCGCTGGGAGATTGGACATCAACGCAACACTCGGCGAGATAACCTTTGACCCGGCATACAGCTACATACCGGCATACAGCTGATATGCCCCCACGCACGCACGCCCACCGCAATCAGCAGCAGCTCCAGCTCCAATCTCCCAGCGAGCCACACCGCATCGCCGAGTGTTAGTAGCTGCCTTTTGTTTCAAGTCAGGCGGACAATACGTTCGGATTGATGGCAACAGAATGGATAATCATGTCGTACGTCTTAGTCTATATCTCCGGATCGCGGGTGTATATATGAGGAAACGATTTCGTACGATGCTAGGCGAATGTACTGTGTACGATTTGCGCTCAAGTTGGTTGAGTTACGCGTAGTAAATCGTAGGTATTCTAAGGCTAGTAAATGAAGAATTTCCCTTGTTTATTGAAGTCACACTCCTACCCTATTATCTACTCCTGATATATATAGTGGAGTAGGCGAGGTACGGTCCGGCATAGCTCTAGTACTATAGCCTGCTTACGAGCCATTAGGGATGAGCGGGACCAACTTAGACCCACTTATACCCGGCTATAAAACGTCTGTGGTAGGCAATTAATGCCTCTTATCCGAAGTGAATATGTCTTAAGTTATATCAGCTACTAAAATTTAACCTCCAACTATCATTGCAATGGTATACTTGCGGTATTTCTTGTGAACGAACATTCGATTTTCGAACTTCAAACAGCCATTTCTGGCGGCGCTGCAGCAGCGCCAGTCAGCGGAAACTATGTATTTCTGCACGTGGAGGGGTGGGCGGGTTGGGGTAGTTGTGGACAAAAACATTGTTGTTGTCAAGTAACAAATTAAGCGATTAAAAGAGATTGTAATATTAGTTTTGTCATGAAAGATGAACAAATTACAATTATTAATTTGTTACTTGACAACAACAATGTTTTTGTCCACAACCAACACAACCCGCCCACCCCTCCACGTGCGGAAATACATACCTAGTTCCAGCTGACTGGCTGGAGTAAGTTGGTCCCGAGCATTCGTAATGGCTGATGCTATAGCCCTGCGGCAGCGATCCGCGGGCTATAGTACTAGAGCTAGGTCCGGCATACAGTAAAAACCCGCGTATAAGAACATAGATTTTAAGAACATGTTAGGCTAAAATTTCCCATTTAGACCCCTTTACATAAGAACCTGTTTTAGGCTAAGATTTTAAAGTAAGTTCTTAATTTTCCATGTTTTTTCCCCCATTTTTTTCTCCTCCATTTTTTGGCATGTTGTTTTATTTCCTTGGATACATACTGTATCATACAGTATGGTAAGCACTGAAAAACTTACACTGTAGCCCATCATGGGTATTAATTAGCAAAAATTGCAGTCCTTGTAAGCAAATGTTAACACAATTTGAATCAAGTATTATACATATTAAAAGTAGAAACAATTAAGAACCTATTTAAGAACCTTTTGAGCCTAATTTTTCAGTAAGCACCATTTATATAAGAACCTATTGAGGCTAACTTGGAAAAATCTATGTTCTTATACGCGGGTTTTTACTGTATTAGATCATAGATGGTACCAGGGTAGGGGCCTACATTCCGGTATACCGGACCGTACCCAGGGTACGTTCCGGCAGTACCCAGGGAGACATAGACACTGGCAGCATTAGTATTATTGTGTTGTGTTGTGTATATAATCATAATATAATATTAATAATACATTATACAGTCTACAGACTACAGTCATGCACTTGATCGATGCTAAAAACCGGGTGAATTTAGCTGTTCGATTTCGAACTAATAGAGAGCTTACAACGTATCCTCCTTCTCCTTTCAACGCGTTTGGATTCTCCATCTGTTGCCTGAATTGCCACTTTAATTTGTCACGCGTCGCAGCTCGTTCAGCGGCCGCTCGAATCTCGGCTGGAGTAGCATCGAACTGTTTCGACGCCATTGCTTCGTGTTGCCGACCTTCAATGCGTGGTGGCAGCACCGTCCAGTGAACACTTTTTATAATTATGTATATATGTATGTATGTATCATTGTATGAACGGGAACCTTTAGATCAGTATTTCCCTTTTTATTTTTTGATAGTTTCCCACCGGTAATTTCACTTTACTGGGAGATTTTGCTCCGGAGCTTCAGGCTGATTCTAAGTAATGTTTAACCTGCTCTACCCAATCCCCATAACATCTATGTTCATTTAGCCCCAATTAAGATGGAGAGCATCACCTGCCTTTCCTCCAGCTGTGCAGGGGTGACCCCCACTTCTTAGAGCCTGTCCCACATGATCTTCCTTAGGTGTTTGTATGCCGGGCAAACCAACAGGAAATGCTTTAGGTCTTCTGGTTCTCCCTTATTGCACACAGTGCAATTTTCTTCCCCTAACCATCCCCTGGTTCTTTTATTTACGGGGAGGCATCCCGCTCTAAATTGGTACAGCAGCTTACTGCCGATTTTATTATTATTGTAAAAGGTTTCTTGTTTAGAAAATGTTTTTCCTTTATATAGCTCTATGTGCTTTTGTTTACCATCCATTTTCTCCATCTGACGGTGCTGCCTTTTATAATGATTTTCTCCACCGTATTGTTCCATGTTTCGCTGTTTTCCCAGTCTCTATTTATCAATAGCTGTTCTTTGTCATACTTTCCCCCCAGGAATTTTACTCGTCTATTCCAATCCGACGTAAAATTTTCTGCACTGATAGCTTCCGCTATTCCCCTGCATTTCCTCTCTTCATCCATATAATTTAATCTCCCTAAATATTTAAGTTTGCTCTTCGCTTCTCTATCCTCAAACGTGGTCCATCCAAGCTCCCCCTTATTGTTTCAATAAAGTAAGGTGGGCCACGTAACAGTTCCCTGCCAAGCTGGTTTTGGGTATTTTCAAGAGCTTGGAGAGTGCCTGTTCCCTTTTTCTTATCCTTATATCTAATTATGTCATTTCCATAGGTTACGGCAGGTACTGCATGCTACTGTCTTCCACAGTTCTCTCCCTACCCAGTAACTGCTGAAGCTATAGTATGCCTTCGTTGCTATTATCCCTCGGTTATGCACTGGTCGGTGCTGCCACACGCATTGAAGGTCGACCATCTATCGCGCCCATAGGCAGCAGAGTGGTAGAAAGATCTCAATCATTGAGCTGTATATATAATCACAACTATTATTATATACAGATCAGTAATCTCAATCTTTGGCTCTGTCAAGGCTAAGTCTGAACAAAGACGACACAAAAATTTATATGTAAAATACTTAGAGAAAAGTTTCAATGCATACATAAATGCGCACTTTATTCATGCTAAATGAGAAAACATTCTATTCCAAACCTCACACAACACTTGCCAGCGACATGACACGCATTTGTTCACAAATTCTCAGGATTTTTATTAAATATAAGTGTGTGTGTATAGACATTATTGATATCATTTTATCGACGCACATCACGATAGAATATGCGCGTAGCCGTAGACATATATAAGTTATGCCTGCTACATATAATCACTCATATGCGGTGCATCACTTTGATCTAGTTTTTTGATTAACCAATAATCATTTTAATTAAAAAATAAAACTCAATCTCAGATAGGGAGGGGACTATGACGGAATGACGAATCACAGACGGCGTGCCGAATCCAATTACGATGAAGATGATTTTCTAGATTTTCCGATAGCAGCATACTTGACGCGAGTTTCAAGTTATCACGACCCCCCCTCCCCCATCACCACTATTATATTTCTCGCCCTTATATCAATTTGTCTTCTAACTTACGTAAAGATACAGCAGCAAGAAACACTTATAATGTTCGAGGTCGATTTGTGTGAAACAATCCGGTTTCCACAGTACGACGATGATATGATGCACTGAATTACCAATGAAGATGTATGAATAATCTATACAGACAGGTATTATATATAAATAATATATATATGTACATATATATATATATGGAGGTGCATGATACAATGCAGGCTCATCGTGTTAAACACCCATATACGCATTAATTAGCTATTCCCTTGAGTGCACCCGTAACCAGATTACGCGAACGTGCGCGCACACACGCACGCATGAACGCTCACGCACACACGTACGCACGCACACGCACACACACGTACGCACGCACACG